TGGTCATCGCTGCTGTTGTTTTCAGATTTGGCAATGTGGAGGAACTTTGGAAATTGTTACATGCTCACATGTCGGACATGTGTTTCGGAAAGCTACACCTTACACGTTTCCAGGAGGCACAGGGCAGATTATCAATAAAAATAACAGACGACTTGCGGAAGTGTGGATGGATGAATTCAAGAATTTCTTCTATATAATTTCTCCAGGTTAGCATTATTTTGCGTTAAAAATTCCAAGACTGTATCTTCCTTGTCCCTGATCCTGATGCATTCTGAGAAGTAAGAAGAGTGCAAGCGGAGCTTTGAGCAGAGGTGAACACCCACCTCATAAGGTCACTGTAAGGAATAATGAAATCACACACAGTATAGAAAGTGCTTGGCAGAATGCCTGGGATAATACATTATTAACAGTAGTAATAAATTATCTCGATCAGTGTTGCTAGCCCAGGTGTTACCCATGTTCTATTTTTTTTTTTTTTAACCTAACTGCAACATTTAATATTTATTCCTGCGAAGTTTCATTTTGTTGATTTTCTGGCATTTTCCTAGCTTATATGACCTTTTCTTGATTCTTGGCTTCTTCATTCAGCATAACAAAACTGCCGTTTTAGTAATGGGTTCCGGGCATTCCCCATAGGCAGGCCATCCCTGCTGTCACGAGGCCAGTGCAGAGCCCCCGTAACATGCTACAAGGGGCTTTTCTCCAGGAACTTTTCTCTGCTATTCAGGGTTTTGTGAGAAGAGTTGTTCCATTGGCTGTAAGTTAGCCTGACATTGTTACTATTCTACTCTCATTTTTCAGTTTCAGCAAGAGTGTTGAGTGGCAATGTGCACAGTTCAGTGAGTTTTATGAGAGAAACCTGACTGGAAACAATTGCTTTGTTGAATATTTGAGCAAAATAGATCTTGATATTTTTGGTTTTGCCTTAACATATTAAAGTTTTCTGATCCCATATAACTTATATTTGTGTTTAATGTTACTAGCATGTATTTTATTCTCACATAAATTTAATTTTTCTTTGAAAAATTAAAACACATTTTAATGTCTTTGGTTTATACTTTGGTGGTGGAATCATGGGATGTCACTTGTATAGTCACACAGCACCCAAGTGATAACCACTGTTCCGTTCATCTGGCTTGTTAGATTCAATATACAGATGGATGTATGTTACCTAACAGAACACTAATAATTCAGAGTCAATTATTTTTTTCAACAGGTGTTACAAAGGTGGATTATGGAGATATATCATCGAGACTTGGTCTAAGACAGAAACTACAATGCAAACCTTTCTCTTGGTACCTAGAGAATATTTATCCTGATTCTCAAATTCCACGTCACTATTTCTCATTGGGAGAGGTAAAAATATGTGTATTCTGTGTGGTTATT